GTATTATGTCAACAGCAAATCTCGGGAAAGCAGGCATTGAAGGAAAGGTTTAAGTGAAGTACAATGGGATAGATATCCCATGAGTAGAAAAAAAGAAGGCAACAAATTCAACACAGGCTATGTGAAGCACTGACGGTCATCACCAAAGCTTAAAATCAGCTCCAGAATGGGTCAACAAATCAATCTGGAAACTTCCGAGTTAAAATAGGGAGCTTTAGGAAATCATGAAAAAACAGTAGGACGCAGTTAAAGAAAAGGAGTACACTGAATTGCAAGAACAGGTTGAGAAAACATATTAGATGAGACTGAGAGAGAAACAGAAAATAGTACTTTAAGACAGGTTAAAATAAAATAAATAAGAAATTCTTTCATTTCTGCATCAGCAAAAGAAGAGTCAGGGAGGAAGGGAAAGGACACAGCTCTGGAGCAGAGGGAGGAGTTTTGTCCTAGAAGCACTGAAGATGATTAAACCCCCAGATGGTATCTTACTGACTGTACTCAAGGAAATGAGAGAGCAACTGTTCAACAGTCACTCATGACTGGGGTCGTACCCAGGGCCTGGAGTGCTGATATAATACCCATCCATGAAGAAGAAAACTGAGAAAACTGGACCAATAACTCTGACTTCTGTTTCGTGTAAGGTTAGAGAAGAACTACACCAGAAGATCCTCTATATATGGAAATGATATCCTAGGAGACAGTCAGCATGGATTTAGAAAAAGTGGCACTGGCCTTAGGGGTTTGTTAGAGCTCTTTAAACAAGTAACAACAGTAATGGATACACACAGAGCACATCAAGTGATTTTCAGAAGTTGTTTGATAAAGTTCCTCATTAAACATTACTTCTCAAATTGTAGGCAGTAGACATTCAGGCAAATGTGAGTGTTTGAATTCAGAATAAGACAATATAAGATCACTTTATGAGCCATATACAATTTCTTGCATTAAGAATCTGTCTTTTCACACACCCCAACTTGCTCTCCATGAGACACAGACAGGGAGAGAGACACTTGGGGTCAGAGCGCAGGGTCAGCCATTTATACAGCCCCCCTGGGGTTAAGGGCCTTGCTCAAGGGCCCAACGGAGTAGGATTCCTCTGCCAGCCAGAGGATTTGAACCGGCAGCCTTCCAGCCACAGGCACAGATCCTTAGCCACAGAGCCACTGTGTTTTCTTATTAAGTAGAAGACAGTGTTCAGATAAGCGATGGAATTTCACACAGAGGTGCTGTAATTAGTGGTGTGCCACAGGGCTCAGGGACTCTGTCAAAGTCAGGATCAGCAGTGAAACATTAACCAGAGCGCACAGGTGGAAACTGTGTGGAAGTAAAAACTTCTCTGCACTATCTGAACAGTAGACCTGTAGACAGTAGACCCTTCTTTACACAGAGAGCTGGGAGAATGTGGAAAAAGCTGCCCAGCCATGTTGTTGAAGCCGATTCTCTGACCACTGGCACCTACACTATAGACTTTCAGTGTAAGTAAACACTGTACAGTGTGTTCACTGACATACACTATACACAGACTCACAGTATACACACATACTGTACACAAACTCACACTGTATACTAAAACACTG